CCAAATAATGTTCTTTTTAGCAGCATCATATGACCCCTTTAAAACCCTAACTGGCTGTCTGCTGCCTACACAGATCCCTTTGTTACTAAGCTAATTATGTCAAAGGATGATAATTCAGTAAAGATCTGATTATGGCTTTGATTAACATTCAAATGAATTCAACTATCAATAAGTTCACTTGCTGTCAGTTATATCTGAACTAAGGGGGCATTTACATTACATCGCTTTCAACAAAAACCTGAAAAAGTTTTATACGACAATGGTGTTTTTGAAAACGGATTTCAAAGTGCACGTTTTTGAAAACAATACCATTAATCGTCTCTGTGTAATCGACAAAAACACGAATTTGTGAAAATGGTGAAGTCATGCTCATTCATATTACGTGTTCTCATAGTGTCTCTGTACAAAGTGACGTTGCCAACTACTGGCCTGGCATGCATAATACAACGTTTGTCATTTTTGCAGATTAATGTGAACGGGGATTGTTTTAGCAATGTCGTTGTTTGTATGTGAATCTTATAAAAAATGCAAAGGAAAAAAAACTTTCCATATATATATATATATATTTTTTTTTATAGTTTTAAATGCCATATATCATTTTATTTATTAAAATATTTGTATTAATTTATTTATTAAAACATTTTAATATTCATATTATGTATTATATTTTATGCTTATTAAGTGTATGTCTGTGTTGCCTGTCTGTCTGTGTTGCATTAAATATACTACTAATTTTGTTAAACATATTCATATTAAATTATAATTATTTTATAATTAATATTACATTTGTAATTTCTTGCAAAAGTCCAAAACACTGGGGCAAATTTAACATTTTAGCCGCCTTAAAACTTTAAACTTCAAACTTAAGACTCACCCAAAAATTCACAGCACATACAGTACAATATTGGGTTAAGTAGGAACATTTCTCAATATTTATTAAGTGTATGCGTGTGTTGCATTAAGTAGTAAATATTGTGCTGTATGTAAAACATTATACTTGTATTTTATATATAAAAATGCTTATGTAACTATGTTTACATACAACATTTCTCTTAACTTGAGCATTCTTGGATTAATATTTCTGTGTAAATGTGTCTCAGGAATGCTTGACAAAGGGATGGCCAAAACAGTAAATATTGTATGTTATAGTGTGTGATTTTTTTTTTTTTTTTAATGATAGTAGTTTAGGATAATAAATATCCTATCAGTATTTTATTTTTCAGATGTACAATGCATTTCTGTTTATTGTTAGCTTACATTTGACTAAAAAAGCCAGCTTCCCAACTTTAGGAACAGTCTTTGCATTGCTAGTGTCACTATGATGCCTTTATATGCTAAATAGTCAGCTCACTAGGTTTTTCTCTCACTTTCTCTCCATAGGGGGCATATGTCATGAACTCTGTTTTGTTTTGTTTCCCAGCATTGGCCGTGAGGCCTCACACAGGCTGCCCGTGTCATGCTGGCTGTGTTTTCAGACTCCAAGACTACCATGTTCATACAATACCCGCATTGTGCCAGGCAGGCAGGGTTATTTTGGTCGCTCGGTTTATGCTGCATCATGTGACGGACGTCTTAGTAGCTGCTGCAGGGGGCAGAGTGAGACGCAGTCAACAAACAAGAAGCACTCTTCATGTGCTAAGGGAGCAGAATAATGCATGACCCGGTCTATCCCTTGACCCTTATCTGGCAGACTCGGCCCTCCCACAATACTGCAGTCAGCGGCATCCCTTTGGTCCCGTAAGCCGTGTGCCAGAAGTTGCCAATACTCTAGATAAGGGCTACTGACACACAGTTGAGAAGCTGGGTCGAGTTAAGCTTGCTTGGCTCTCTTTTCTCACTGGATCGATAGCTTTCAGGATTCAGCCCTGGTTTCTGAGAGAGTCGTTAATGAGAGCGAAAGCTGCCATCCAGCTCTCAAAAGCCCCGTCTATAATGAAAGCCCTGTTAAAACACATCCAGAGTATTAAATGTGGTTCTGGACTGGTGAGCTAACATCATCCCTTTTTAGATGGACTTGTTTTGTGATGGTTTTGGTTTCCTCCTCTTGTGCAGGTCACGTTCCGCACGAGGATCTATCACTGCAACATCAACAGTCAGGGTGTGATCTGCCTGGACATCCTGAAGGATAACTGGAGCCCAGCTCTGACCATCTCGAAGGTCCTGCTTTCCATCTGTTCTCTGCTGACAGACTGCAATCCAGGTGAGCACAGCAATTCAAGGCTGATAAAAAATGGCCCAAGCCCTAAGCATAGCTTTACTAGTGAAATCAGAGGACAATAATTAGATGTGCATTTTAAAAGTGATAGTTCATCCAAAAATGAGAATTCTGTCATCTTTTACTCACCCTAATGTCGTTCCAAAAATGCACTTTGTTCTGTAAAACTCAGTGGGCCTCATCCCATATTTCAGTTATTGGTGAAATATGATTTGTTCATGAAAATGCAGATTTCCTTACGCATGTTTTCATGAACAAATCATGATTCACCAAATACCTTTCGTACTAAAATGTATTCTAAATTTATGAATAAATGTTGGAACTACCATATGAAAGCCCTTTTCCACCATGGAATAAAAAATGAAAAGGTAGTTGTGACTTTTTATCTCACAATTTTGACATTTTTCTGACTTTGTGAATTGTGAAATGTTAACTCACAATCGCTAGATATAAACGTGCAATTCTGAGACAAAAAAAATCAGAATTGCGAGATAAAAAGTTGCAATGACCTGTTTTATTATGTGGTGGGAACAAAAAAAAGACTAAATTGCAAGATGTAAACTCAGTTGTAACAAAATAGTCAGAATTGCGAGATGTTCACTCAATTCTAGCAAACTGCAACAATTTAAACTTTTGAGTTTGCCTCACATATATCTCTTCAATTTCTTTTCTCAGAATTGCAAATTGTGAGAGACAAACTCCTAACCAGGTTAAGAACAAATTCATGTTTTAGGTTGAATTTTTTTCATGAGAACATCTCCTGTGCTTACAGATACAAAATAAACCACGCAATTATTAGCAAATGAGACCCAGTGTTTTTGTGTTCATACAATGAAAATAAATGGGTTCCGATCTCTCAGAAATCATCTTTTGTGCTTCACTGATTCCAGACAGGTTTGGAATATCAAGAGTATGAGGGAATGATGACATAATTGTCATATTTGGATGAACTATACCTTTAAATCTGGTCCTTCTATGCAGAATAGGATAACCTATGAACATCCTTGATTGCATTCTTTACGTCACAGCCAACTTGTAGTACCAAAGAGGTTATTGACATAGTAATGCAAAAAAAAAAAAATCAGTCATCTTTTCTTGTTTATCTACAAATCAGTAATTGCAGAACATCTGTTGCAGTATTCATGCTCTAATTTCGTACCTAATGCTTGATTGCATAACTCAGGTTCACTAAAAGGCCTCAACCACGACATATCTGAAAGACTACACCCATCAGATGAAAATAAAATCATTTGATTAGATGATGATTCTGACCATGTGGATTTTCCCGTTTATTTGCGCTTTTGATACTTTCTTTATTTCACTGAAGGCCCTAAGGCAGGGGTGTCTGATCCTGCTCCTGGAGAGACACCTTCCTGCAGAGTTCAGCTCCAGCCTGCTCCAGCACACCTAACTGGATGTTTCTATTAATCCTAAAAACCTTGATTAGCCGGTTCAGATGTGCTAAATTATGATTGAACTTAAAGGTTAAACTCTGCAGGAAGGTGGGCCTCCAGGAGCAGATCTGGACACTCCTGAAGAAACATAGAGAAATAAATTATTTCGACAATATTCATTTTCATCAGATTATATATATACACAGTGCTGAATGGGACATTCCATAATCACAAACACAAGTTCTGGATCCACCAATATGCTCTTAAAGCCAGAGTCCTGTATCTCTTAAACATAAAGTATTTTATTAAATTGTGCTGATTTGTTACTTCGCAAAAATATTTTTTTTTTTAGCAGAGTCAACCCTGAATCCATTTTTTTTTCATGCTTTTTAATGGACAGAACAGTAGAGAATGACAGGAAAGTGTGGGGTGGAGAGTTGGGAAGGGGATTGGCAAATAACCACGAGTCAGGTCTTCAAACTCGGGTTGCCAGACGTGCAGTTGCACTATATGTCAGTGTGCTAACCGCTAGGCTATCATTTTTGTAATCCAATTTTGAGTTTTTACCTAAAGCAAAGTTTAAAAACCCGAAAAGGCTCTTGTGTACTATTTCAACCTGTTACTCACCATGAAAATATCCAAGGAAACAACCAGTATTCATTTGCACACTGACAAAGCCTCAAATGGGCAAAATCAGAAGAAGAAAGCGATAGAAGAAATAAAGATATAAAAATGAATGCGGTCAAACGATTAATCGTGATTAATCGCATTCCAAAATAAAAGTTCTTGTTTACATAATATGTGTATGTACTGTGTATACTTATTATGTATATATAAATCCACATACATACAGTATATATTTTATACTGTTCGATTTTTCGATTAATCGTTTTTTTTAAATGACGTCGATTCGATATCGATTCTCAAAAGCCGCGAATCAGTCTTTTCCAGTATTTATTTCAGCCCACATTTAAAACAAGATCCGATTAACGTGAATCTTATCATTAGTCTTCCCCACTAGATGTCACCCTTATTTACCTTGCGCGATGTTACAACAGAAAGGCTGTCATTCATTTAGCACTTATCATGACCATACGCGTGATTCGCAATGCTATGAAATGCTATAGTAATACTATAAATCTGCGGAAGCATTTGATCACGCATAAGGCGCCATGATTTCCGCAGTGAATGACTGGCGGATGGCGCGGGGCACTGTTTTGTTTACTACACACATACTAAAGCGTGGATGACGCTCGCGGTGTTTTCAGCTTCTGCCGTCTCACTATATGATGATATGAACACGAATGTCATCTCCAGCTGCTCTGAGAGTCACTTCATTAGCATTTTACCGTTTCATTTGAGAAAACTACCATCATATCACATACACAGCAGCTGCAAGTTCTTCACGGCAACCCGTCGAGAGCTTGCGAATCGAAATCGAATCGAATCGGGACATCTGAATCGATACCCAGCCCTAGTATTTACATATGTATTTATATTAATATAATATATATAAATATATTTAATATGCAAACAACATTTTTCTGAAATATATACATGCATGTGTGTGTATTTATATATAAATAATAAATATACACAGTACACACACATATAATATGTAAACAAAAAATTAATTAATTGTGATTAATCGTTTGACAGCACTAATTAAAATATATAAAATAGAACTTTAAAATATTTGTTTATTTAATTAGATATCCATTATGCCAGCAGAGAGCTTACTGTTGTCTAAAATCAAAGGAAAATTGTTTGATTAAAAAATCTTGGCCCAAAACCATATCCTACATTCAGGGTTGTTATTGTGTACAACTATTAAAATAATTGTCATTAATTGAAATAAAACTGAAATGAAATGGAAATATTTGATGAAAAGCACTTGTCTGATAAATATTACATTAAAAAAAAAACTCAAATGAAAATGAGAAAGGCTGCCTTGGCAAGTGTAAGTTGAAGTACAAAAATTACTGAAACTGCAAAAAAAAAACATTTTAAATGGCTAATTCAAAATATTAATAAATACTATGAATATTTATCATATTTATGTGAAGTTGAAGCTGAAGTCTGAACTTTAGACTTCATGTTGCAAGTTTCTAGTCAGGTTCATTTTAGCCTCAAATGGGCAAAATCAGAAGCAGAAAGCGATAGAAAATACATAGGGAAATAAAAATATAAATAAAAATGAAAAAGTATTTATTTATTTAATTTGATTACCCTTCATGCCAGCATGGAGTTTACAGTTTCTTAACCCTAAAATCAAAGGAAAATACAGTAATTGTTCTAAATTAGTTATTTTGAACTCAAATTAATAAAACAATTTTCATTAATAATAAAAAACTGCAATAAAGCACAAATATTAGATGGGAAAATACTCCAAAAGACTTGGAAAATTAGAAATGTTGCCTTGGCCATTAACTGAAGTACAATAAGTTGAAGCACTACAATTAAAACAAATTAATAATTGATATAAATAATACTAAAATATATAAAAAAAGGATTTATTGAATCCAGAAAAGCTGATGTTAAAGCTGAGGACTTCATTTTGCGTCTTCATTGTTGTGTTGCTTGAAGTGAAGGTTTTGTCGCGAGTAAGGAAAACCAGACGTTTAGGAAGAGGCCTACAGTTTGGAATCCTGTAAAGCCGTCACGGTGTTTGTCTCGAAAACATCTCTGACATTGTTGAGTCAGCACATGACAGATGTGTCTGTTGAATCCCACACGGCTCTTTCATTTACTCTCCACGATGGCTGACTTCCCACTGCTCTCTCTCCCACTGTGTCCTTCCCAGCGCCCATATTGAGTCTTTCAGAATACTGTGTTCTCGCTGACTCCCGGGTATAAGAATGTCTCACTTTTTTCCTTTCCGTTTTTCTGTCTCTCAGCGGATCCTCTGGTGGGAAGCATAGCTACTCAGTACCTGACCAACAGAGCAGAGCATGACAGGATAGCTCGACAGTGGACCAAGAGATACGCCACATAGACGGCGCCCGCTCGCCCTCCCATCCACCACCCTCTTTCTTCCCAGCTTCCCTTTGTCCACCCGTCCTTCCTGCACTCTTCTCCAGCGCCGCCCCAGTTCCCATCACCCGCAGGAGTGTAAAGATCCAGGAGAAGCAACTTTACAACGTGCAACAAATCTTTATAGCCTTTACAATACGGACTTCTGTGTATATGTCATACTGATTCTACCCCGTGTTTTTACCCGATACGGACTGGGAGCGCAGAAAGGACCCGCCAAGGTATAAAGGCTGCCGGAGTAGAATTTTGTAGCTGTAGATTTAGTTCTGTTTAAAAGCCTACTTGCAAGTCTTGCTTCTTTGGGATATAAAAAATGTATTTTGTGATGTAATAAGGAAAATGTTCCTAAAGTCAACCAAATATTATGGTGCATTTTAGCCTAATTCATTATCTGTATGAAGTCAAAGAAAAAGAGAAAAAAAGATGAAAAAAAACTGTAGATCATTAGAAATGTCATTTATATGAGACCCACACTCATTTCCAGTTCTGTGGTACATGCTGTTGTGAATCTGTTATACCTTTGTCAGTTTGTAATGAAGCGATCTCATTGAACGTTTTGTAGCTCAGCTGAAATGAGCAACCACTGTAACATCCCCTCCAACACAATAAAAAAAGAAAACTGTCCCCCGGGTGAGGTGTGCTGCACTCTTTACACATGCATTATGATCGGATGGGATCACAAATGATGGACTAGGGGTTGCGCCGACTAATCGACTTCAGTGCTCTGCCATGACGCTTTAAGCTTGACGTCGACTAGTCGCTGGTCCTATAGAGGGCGCAACAGGTTAAGAAATCTTTGAAGGACTTCCACATTTACGCTCCGTTTCCAAACAGTTCAAATGACAAATAAATGCATACTCTGAAAGCGCTCCCTCCACAAGACATGTGTGATTATATTACTGGATGCTCGAAATTGAACGGGAGAATGCACGTTTTAAACAGCTTATTGTACAGGTAAGTTAATCGCGGTTAAGAAAGAAATTAATGCTTTTATTCAGCAAAGAATTAATGCAATAAATGGGTCAAAAGTGAGGGCATTTAAAATGCTACAAAAGATTTCGATTTTAAATAAATGTTCTTATGATCTTTATATTCATTAAAAAAAAAAGCATGGTTTCCACGAAAATATTAAGCAGGACAACAGTTTTCAACAGTTAGAAATGTATTCAAAAACATTAAAATCTCACCAACCCCAAACGTTTGCATGGTAGTGTAAATAGGCTTTAATTACCTGGAGATATGGGTTTGGGTTTGGTTTGGTTTTGGGTTTGGGTTTGGGTTTGGTTTTGGGTTTGGTTTGGTTTGGTTTTGGTTTGGTTTGGTTGATGAGTTGGATTGGATGATAGTTTTGATTACTTGAAATTTGGAAAATTATAATAATATTTTATTGCAAAGACACAAATTCCAGTTGTTAGACAGAACTGGATCTTGGCCACATGAGGGAGACAAACCATAACGTCCCTTCCTCTCGCTGCCTCCTTTGTCTAGACATGGATTTTCTTTGAGATTTTCAGCTATCTGCTTTTGATTATTTATTCATTTGGCTGATCCCATCAGGGAGGGGTCTCATTAAGTGACCTGCAGCAAGTCGATTGAGAAATAACGCAGTAAGGAAAATATTAGTCTCCTGTCCATGAGTGATGAGAGGGGTGGAATACTGATGAAGCGATCACAAACACATCCCAGTGTCATAAAGAGCTTCAGATTCAGTCAATAATGAGAGGGGACGCTCAGGGCAGAGATTTCTGTCTGTCGAAGTAAAAATGAGATCTCACACTCACCTCGCTTCATCCCTACAGAAACTACTTGGCCTTGAGGTGTTATGGTTGAGGATTTTCTTAGGTGTATTTTCTTACATGGTGGTTTCTGTGTGGCATTATTGATGTTTTGTGTGGGATGGTTTGCACGTAGATCCAGTTTCTGCTCGTGGTGCTCAGATGTGTCCTATTATAGTTTAATCAAGGTTACCAAAGCAATAACCCACTGGAGGCTGTGCATTAATGACACACAACTGCCTTGTCACAGATGCTCACAAGTGGCTTATTGATTTTATAAACCAATAGAAATAGAAAGGAGGAGAATCAGACAACATTGATCAATAATTTTAACATTTATTGGCAACCCCTTACCAGTATGTTTTATTTAGTTAAAATTAATGCATTAGGCATCATAAATTAAAAATGAACAACTTTTAACAGCATTTTTTTTTAAATCCAAGGTAAGTTATAAATATTAATTTTTAATTTGTTTGTTTATAATACATTAACTTTATTGTATCTCATTTGTTAACATTAATGTGTTAATTAACATGAACTAACAATGATCAATATATTTGACACCATTTATTAACTTTATTAATATTAATTAATACAAAGTATCATGTTCATGTGAGTTCACAGTATATTCATGTTAGCAGATATGACTTTAGCAGAGATTAACAATAACCAAGATTAATAAATGTGATAATTTTTAATTCATATTTTATTTGAACATATTTATTATTAACTTTGTGTTGTCATTAAATTATATCGTATTGTAGACGTAATACTACTACTGCTAATAATAATAATTATTATTTATTGTTAATATATGATTGATGATGTTATTAATGATTCACTATTATTATTATTATTAATAATAATAATAATAATAATGAATTAGTTGAATAATTTTTTTATTATTAGTTTATTATTGTTAATAAATCATCATCATCTTCAAAGTAGTTCTTCCACTAATCTAGTTCAAAGGCTATGTAGCTTTTAGAAATGAAACATAAATCACGATTAATAAATGCTGAAAAAATATTGTTAATTTTAGTTCATACTGAATGCATTAACTATATAAACAAATTAAATCTTATTTGTTTATAAATAATTATTATTATTACTGATAATATTCATTATTCTTTATTACAATATTACGTATTGTTAATATATTATTATTGAACATTGAATATTCTGTTGTTGTTGTTGTTGTTATATTAGTATTAGTGTATTATGAATATATTTTTTTAAATCAATATTATTATGATCAGAGTAAGCAGTTCTTCCACTAAAACAGTTCATTAGTCAAACAAAAGCTACATAGTTACTTGATGCATAAAAGTTCAGTCACATGCGCCTTTATAACTGTTTGATGATACTGTATGGCTCATCCAATCAGAACAGATTCTGCTTTATAAGAAGGGTTAACATGCTTTAAGCAGATTTCCTTAAGCTGCCATTACATTCTCATAAGCAGTGTTCTGCCTATTAACCCCTCTTTGGCTGTGTTGGTTATTACCTGTGAGACAAAGGAAGGGGTGGAGGCGTTGAGTCAGTGAGTTCAAGTGTGTTGTAGCCTGTGAACTCCAGCCGCGGCGATCGGGCGTCACAGGCCTCTTGTGCGCAGTTACAAGTGGAGAACACAAAGGCTTGATTGAGATGAAGTGAGCCGTGGATTAGTATGGGTGCTGCTAAATGCCCTCATCCTGACTGACAATGGAGGCCCTCTGACGGCTGAGACGACCCAGCCTCCTCTTTTGTTTTTCAAGGACCCATGTGTTTGCCTCCACCAAACCACACAGCGTTCGCACCGCAGACGATTCTTGAGTGCTGTAAGCGTGTCCAAATTAGGCTGGATGTGAGTGAGTGTTAATCAGGTTCGGTTTGTTGGTTTTTCATTAAGCAAATGGGAGGAAAAGCTCAGTGTTATAGAGATATGAAATGTCATTTTTCTAAGACAAATGCAAAGTTTGAGGCAAAAATCCAGTTTTTTTTCCCCCTTTAGCAGTGTTTATGATGGTTTTATACATGAACTAATGTTCAAAAGTTTGGAGTCTGTAAGACATCTCATATGCTCAACAAGGCTGCATTTATTTGATTGAAAATACAGTAAAATTGAAATATTTATACAATTTAACATAACAATTTTCTATTTTAATATATGTAAAAATTTAATTTATTCCTGTGATGCAAAGCTGAATTTTGAACAGTCATTACTCCAGTTTTCAATGTCACATGATCCTTTAGAAATCATTCTAATATGCTGTTTCTGTGCTCATTAAACATTATCATCAATTTTGAAGACAGTTGTGCTGCTTAATAATTTTGTGAAAACATGATAGATGTTTTCAGAGTTCTTTAAATGAATAGAAGGTTCAAATGAACAGCACTGAAACAGTTGAACATTGATATAATGTAAAAAAAAAAAAAAGAAATCTTACTGACCCAAAATGCTCATCTGGAATGAAGATCAAAACAATCATAAATTAGAGTAATTTGTTTTGTTTTTATTCTTTATTCCAAAGTATAATTCCACAGTCATTATATTTTTGTACTAGCTCTTGGGTAAACTTAGAAAAAGGCTGTTTTTTTTAAAGACATGTTTTATGGTGTAATTTTCTAAAATGTATTATTTTAAATAATGAATTAATAAAGAAATAATATGTAATACAATAAATTATATATATATATATATGTGTGTGTGTGTGTGTGTGTGTGTGTGTGTGTGTGTGTGTGTGTGTGTCAGTGGTCAGTTAGGTAAGTGCAGTTGGCTGCCCTTTTTATTTTACATAATATTGCATTAACACCTTAAAAGTTTTGCGTTCCATCAGTAATACTCCTCACTCTATTTTTATACAAGACACAAGCATCTCGAGCAATTCAAGATGAAATACAATCCCTATAGACCCCAATTAGGTCTCACCACATTCTTTCATTAACAAGTCTTCTGATTTTAGGCACTGAGAGGTGTGAAACTCTCCCACTCCAACCAGTATGTTCCAGAATCATAATATTTAGATCAGCCGTGTGTTTTGAGACAGCTGACTGCATAGAGGGTGGGGGTTTCTAAACTTATTTTATTAAAACTGCTTAAAATGTTCCTAGAATCTGACTAAACCTCCTTCAGAGGACACCTTCATAAGAAAATTGATTCTTAAAAAAATATATATTTAAATTAATACATTATTTTAAATGATTATTGTATGTGTAGTGAAGAATTTAGGTTAGGATAATTGTGTAGTAATTATAAATGTTTATTTTCAATCATTACGATGTTCCCATGTATATAGCTTGGTAAATGTGTACATATTTCTGGGTTTGACTTTATGGTGCAACTATATAAAAAATATTTTGGACTTGAGATCTGCACCTCTTTAGCAAATTCCTTAAAATGTGTTACTGGCATGAGTTTTAAGACTCCTAATGCTTTTGCTCCCATCTTCCCCTGGCCGATAGGGTGAGCTTTAAGTGTAAAGCTGCCGCAGCCAGCAGATGGCACTGATTCCACGTGCGTGAGGCTTCTGGCCCTCAAATTGGAGAGCCTTTGTCTTCATGATGATGCTGGGATAGCTCGCTAAGTAGCTCCTCAGGAAGGTTATTGTAATGGCAGTTTTAGCAGTCACACACCAACACTAGATGCTTCCACAGATCGCAGCTGCTGC